AAGTTCTAGAGTTCTCAATCGATTTTAAGAAGAATTTCATTGATTAAAGGTGAAAATACTATTTGAAGTAAGGGGGATGGCCGACTTCATGATTCTGAAACTTTGAAGGCCTATAATTTCTTTATCTTTCATTTTAGCACTTTGATCCTTATAGGACAGAGCTGTCCAAAGTCAGTATTTTTTGGCTTGAAATCGAAATGTCGGTATTCACACGTATTACCGTTTTTACTCCCTTCTTCATTGCTGTTTTGTTGTAGCATGAAACGCTCGGTCTCACGAACGACACCAGTTTGAAAGCGTTAAAAGTTTTCGATCTGTATCTTTCATTATGTTTAAAAGTATTCTGTTATTTATATTTTTATAAAGTTAAATATATTATGAATAATAGTATCTTATAATATTAGTAACAGAAGTAACAGTTTACTTTTAAACATAGCGAAAGGCACAGGTCAAAAATTTTTAACGATTTCAAACTAGTATCATCCATCAATGAAGTAGTAGGAACGGTAATAGGTGTGAACACCGACACATTTCAATTTCAAGCCAAAAAACATCGACCTTGGACAGTTCTGTTACAGGACAATCGATAGAACTCTTGAGGAGGTTACCAGAATTCGCGTCAGAACGTCGGATTTCCGAAAAAAATTTTCAACCTATGCAGACTTGAAAAAATTTGAAATCTAAGAATATCCTCGAACTTTTTAGTTATTGACGATTTCAGCGTATCAATTATTAAAAACAATCTTTGAGAGGCTACCAGAACTCTTGTCAGAATGCCGAATTTCCGAAAAAAATTTGATATTGTTCTTTTAAATTTTTTAATTTTTTTTTAATAATTGAAAAATAATTTTATTATACATCAGGAACTCTAGTACTCGTCAAAAGATATCGAATGGACTATTCAGAACTATTCGGTGCTAATGTTGGGTGTGAAGTTAGCACCTCTAAGTATTTTATGAAATCCATTTTTTGGTGTTTATGAACGGAACTCTTTTTAAAAACCATCAGGAACTCTTCTTCTTGTTCTAAACCAAAATTCTTATCAAAACTCCGATTTCAAAGTATCGGGGTGCCAACAATACATACCCAAAATCATAGAATTGACATTTCTCATGCATGATTATAGGCAAGTGGGTAAAAGTGCTTCACAAGGGCCCCTCAACAATTCCAAAGTTATCATACAAATTTGAAATATTTTTACATATTAATAAATTGCTCTTGTTTCTATATGGAATCTATTTGTACATTATGTATAAATAATTAGTATTGAAACATAACACGAAATATCAAAATAATAAATAAAAAGAGGATATACCACACATTGGCTTTTTGCGCAAAGTCAAATAATTAAATTTTATTCCGTTAAATATAAATAAAAGACGAAACAGCTATAAACGTTTCGGCCTCGATTAGGTCATCCTCGGTATGTCATGAAACCATACAAAATTATTAGATAAATAGCATAAGCATTAAAAAAATAAAACGCATAAATAGAAATGAATTATAAGTCAAATGAATACTACACATTGAAATTCAAGAATATTAGTTACAAGATTTAGCTTCGCAAAGATGCTCGTTAATCGGTTTACAACTATGGATGTTGTGAATTTAAATGCTCCATTGCAATTCTTGTTGACGATTCCGTTTCAATTTGTAATTAGACGTAACACAGTTGTTACAATAGATATAATAAATGATAGTTTTGTAACACACATACACAAACAAGATTTCCAGATTCCAGATTAACTTTGCCAATCTTTAAGAATGAATTATCTGAATGTAGACGGAGAATGGAAATCCATTATCCAACAAGATTAAGATTTTCTGTCGTTTATTATATCTATTGTAACAACTTTTTGTTACATATATAAAAAATTTTGAATAAAAAAAATAATTTAGATAGCTAAATCTATCAAAAACAGATCTTGCAAAGAATATACAACCATTTTTTTTCAGCAGAATGTAAAGAATGTAATAGAATCTAATAACAGAATATAGTAACATATTGCCAGCCGAACTCGAACAGAATGTACCATTTTGTAACTATTTAAGCGGTACATCTTATTCTAGTTAGTTATGACTTTGTCCAATTTTCGCTGGTAATTTGTTGTTATATTTAATATTAGCAGACTGCCTGACAAAACATCAGCTTAATAGACTAGCTAATGGCAATCTGCAATATTCTTCTGACAAAGTGTTATGTCCGTCCTATAATAATCATAAGCATAGTCGTAAGTGGTTTTTATTATAAGAATTGATCAATTACAGTTGAATATTCTCTTTATATTGCACTTCATTGGTCGATTCTTAGAATCATGGCACATAAAAACTTAAGCAGTAAAACATAAGCAACAAGCAAACGGGTACTCACAGTAAAGACTGTAAGGCCATAATGTCAACGGTAGACAATCCAACATGATTTTCTTACTGTTTATGTCTTACTGCTGAAGTTTTTTTGTGTGCTATGGCCCTTATAACTTCAACCACTTACAACTATGGCTATTATGGAATAGACATTAGGACCATGGCATACAAAAAACTTTAGCAGCAAAATGTGAACAGGAAGGAAATCAATGTTGGATTGGCTACCGCATAAATTAAGGCCAATTTGCATTTTACTGCTTAAGTTTTTCATATTCCACAGTCCTTAAGGTGGATTCAGACCTAGACAGAAAAGCAGAAAGCAGAAAGCAGAAAAAAAACAGGCAATCAAAATTTGCGCTGGTAGTAAGCAGCACAGAAAGCCAAAACCAGCCACTATCGGCACAAGTTCTGATCGGCTGCTCTTTTGCTCTTTTTTATCTTGGTTTGAACCTACCCTTTAGAGTACTATTAATTTCGCTTACTGGAATTAGTCTACCGTAAAGACAAATCCCAAACTAATATTAGGCAACATCAGCTTGGGATTTGTCTTTATAGTATCAATCTCATCATAAATTGTAGTCTTAACTGTAGTCTAAAAAAAAAAAATAGAAATCAAAGTGTGAGTTTTCCGCAAAACTTAAAATCGACTTAACCTAATGCCATCCTCTATCATAATCCGAATCTTGTCCTGCTTGGAAGAAGCGCCATGGTTGGCCAAGGTAGCGAATTTGGTAGCAACCAAGTCCTGCAGCTGATCGCCATCTCCGTGAAAACCATTCGAGGCGAATCTGCCGGCCGGTGGCTGTCGTTTCTCGAGGACGGTGGTGGCAGCAGTAGCAACGGTGACTGAGGAGGTAGAGGTGGCGGCGGTAATGTTAGCGGTGTCACCATTTTCCACACAAACGTCACTGCGCTCCTTTTTAATTCGTTTAACATCAAACGCGTTCTCTTCTTCGCTCCTCGCGGACGTTTTGCAGGATTTCGTCTCATCATGACTGTCAGTACTCATCGTAGCCTAAACCTCCCCGTCCCACCCTCCTGCCAGCCCACCCGCTCGCCCGCCTCCAGCCGGTCGTAGCTCACGTATGCAGAAACGTATCGTCTCCCTGTGCACGGTCACTGCGAGCTACCATGTTGTCCGCCGTTCCGTGATCAGCTGGGCTTACTCGTTAGCAACCCTACGCGCCATTGCTCGGAAAGATCTTTGCATGTGAGAAACTGCCACACAAATCGCCGAACCGCGTACAATATGCAGCGACGCGCGAATCCGTCATAACGGTACCGCGCGTGGTAGCCGTGTCGGTACAGACGCTCAAATCGAAAGCGCCTACCAGCCAGATGAGAATCAGCAGGCGAGAATCGGACAAATCGATACCGGCTACGATGGTTCACGAACGTTACTCGGCTATTCGCCGCGCTTCGTTCCTCGGTTTGTACCTTCTTATTCCGGTTTCGTCGCCATAGAGTATGCACTATACGCATTGAATTGCGCTTTGACTGCAAATTTTGCTAGTAGGACTGCTTTTTCTAGCGCATGCTCGTTGGAGACACATAAATGCATGAAGTATAAAAATCACCATTAATAGCATTATGGTGAAATCACACGATGCGGAAAAAGACTGCGGAAGAGAATGCGTCATTGAAGCAACCAATCAGCGCTATTCCGAATAGCGCTGAATAGCGCTGATTGGTTGCTTCAATGACGCATTCTCTATTCCGCAAGTCTTTTTCCGCACCGTGTGATTTCACCCTTAGATCTGTTCGCGTTGCATGAAATCCCCAAATATTTTTGCACTTAGAATGAGATAGATATTTGGTAGTAGCCAACAAAAGACTGGCATAGATGGGTTAATTTTTGATTGGCTGAATATGGAATGGCAGAAACCAATCAAAAGTCGTGCTGGTAATTGATGATAGTACAGCCCGAATTCTGATTGGCTTCTGCTTTCCTACTTTTTTTGCTCTTCCGTCCTAGTTGCGAACGCGTCCTATGACTTAATAACTACGTTTACACCGTGCATTTAGGCCACGGCCTACACAATAGATGTCCTTGTTTATCCTGTATATTAAACAAAGACACCTATCGTATAGGTCGCGGACTAAGCGCACGGTGTAAACGTAACCATTATACGGGGTCTACAATAGAAGTCGTAGCGGTCGTAGGGTCTTAGGGTGAAATCACACGGTGCGGAAAAAGACTGCGGAATAGAGAATGCGTCATTGAAGCAACCAATCAGCGCTATTCCGAATAGCGCTGAATAGCGTTGATTGGTTGCTTCAATGACGCATTCTCTATTCCGCAGTCTTTTTCCGCACCGTGTGATTTCACCCTTAAGTCGTAGAAAATTGACCAATCACAGTCGAATATGAGAAGAATAATCAACTGCGATTGGTCAATTTTCTACGACTTAAGACCCTACGACCGCTACGACTTCTATTGTAGACCCCGCATTATAGTGTCTTTAGGTTGTAGTACTGAATGCACCCATTTGTTAAACAACAAGGATAAAATGATACTCGGATTGACAGAGTTGGGTTTTGGAACGCAGCCCAGAACAGATAACAAGTAGGACAACGGCGCTGCGGGGGTGCGCGGCGAGAAGTTACCTCCTTTCGTCTCTGTGAATCTTTGGTTAGTTCAGGTTCAGGTTGGTTCGCTACGCGTCATAGCATCGGATCGTTTCAGTTCATTTCAGTTCGCCTCGGTGGTCTCGAACTACTCGGGTACGCGTTTTGAGCAGTCGTGTTAATTGCTGCTTACACAGGTTCTCGTGGATAATCTCTCGCTGTCTGCCAGTGCACGCAAGATATCAGTGGGTCAGTGCTTTTTGTGCCAAATCCATGGATTTGGATATGCCCGCGGACATGGATTATACTTCCGGATTTAACATGGTGAGTGCATTCACGATGCTGTGTCGATGATCCAAGTGGCGAATGTGGTATGGCGATTTAACTAGCACAGCGACGCCCCCGAAATTTTCGGATTTATGTGCCGTTGTTCATGAAAGAATGCGTAAAATCGCAATAAATTTCCGACCGTTTGGTTGAGACATGAAGTAAAGCTAGTGGATGGAATAATTATAATTCTCGTACGATGCCCGAAATGAATTCGGCATAACTGGAAAACGTCTCTGATTTCGACGAAATCGTAGTAGGAATGATAAAAGTACACTTACATCCCCTTTCGTATCTTTTTTATAAAAAGTAAACAAAAAGGATATGGATATGTATTTCTGCTCGAAAGAAATGTTTTGATTTCTGTACAATCAGGAAATCTGATATAAAGATGTAAATTATTTTATGTATACAGCTTTGAAAACAGCTGATAAACTGATGATTTTCCATCCAATTTTTACTAAATTCTCCTGAAATGCCCTAGTCAGGGTGACCATTACGTCCGGCTTTTCCCCGGATGTGTACTTTTTTTTTGTCGGGCAATTAAGAACGTTCTGAATGTTCTCGGTCGCCCGAAAAAAGAATGCATGCCCAGAGAAAGCTGGACGTACTGTTACTCTAGCCATAGTACATACCTACTTCGAAAATTTTTCGTTTGGAGCGAAACAGACCAAAAATTATCCTAGGCTGTTATTTATAGTCGATTTTTATATTTCAGACTGTCTTAATTACAGACTTATGATGTGACAAGCCAATCAGATCGCTTTATTATCATCTTGAGATACTAAGGCAGTTTTAAAAGAAGAACAGACTACTAATGTACTACTAATTACATCCCAATTTACTCAAAAATTCTGATGTACCACGAAATTCTGACGACAGCATCGTGTTCAGCGTGAAAAAATCTTTGGCCTGGTACTTCAAAGGGAAAAGTGATTTTTTTTAACTATATTTAATTTACAGAAAGTCTAAAATTTAAACAGTCGTTAATTGATGAAGAAAATAAGTATACAATGAACTAAAATTCATCAAATTTAAAAGCTCTTGAATTGTACTTTTAGATGGCTTAATCTTTATCTAGAAACAAGTTTTTGTTTTGCTGTACAAAAATTTTGAAAATGGCCAAAAGTGATGTTTCAATGGCTGTGTCAACCCAATTTATTCAAAATCTTAATGTGCTTGATTTGCTATGCAAATTCTAAGTTTGTTTGCATCGCATGCATCTACATCTACAGTGCTCCTACACTGAGAAAAATGGTTTGGTTGAATTAAATAGTAATTCTGATGGAAAACGAATCAGAATTTTCTGGTTAAATTTATTAGAATTCTGATTGAGATAACCGGAATTCTGATTGATACAATAATTAGTCTGGTAAAAATAAGAATTCTAGTACATTTTACCAGAAATATTGTATCAACCAGAATTCTGGTTATCTCAACTAGAATTCTAATAAATTTAACCAGAAAATTCTGATGGAAAATGGACGAATCAGAATTTTCTAGTTAAATTT